AGTTCAATTCCAATTTTTGTGCCCACCCTGATTAAATGGATCCGGTTTTTCGATACCACAGTATGTCGGCAGTACAGATTTCTTCAGCACATTCATTAGGAAGTGTCGAGGACAACGCTGTATTCGTCTTTTTCTAGTGAAAGAAGTGTGCGAAGTAGTTAACTTTATTTTTAACTAGCTGACCCGGCGAACTCTGTTCCGCCTTAAAGGCAATAAATAAGCCATCGCAATTTTTCCTTATTTGCTCACCGTTTAGACCTACCCTGGAATCGGTTATATTTATATATGTTACAGGAAATGTATGAAATCTAGGAATTGTATACTATTCCTAGGAAATGTATACAATTCCGAAGCTATTTAGGAAATGTATACTTTTCCTAGGAATTTTATAGAATTCCAATATTGTATTAGGAAATGTATAAAACTAAGAGGCACCAGCGCGGTCGCGTGATAGGGTGCCCCCTCGGTACGCTTAAAATTTCATTTAGCCAAACCACATTGGTCGATAGGTACTTTTAACTCACAATTAATATTGTTTAGCCTGACAGTTGTTTTCGCACTATTATACTTTGGCCGAAAAAAATATTCGCCTAAAATTTATTGGCAAACCTTTCTTTCGGCATCATGCATATTACGCTGAAGTATTGGAAATCCCTAATTTTATCATCTCTTTTATTAAAGTATTATTGGCATGAAGGTTTTGGTACACGTGTAGCTGGATAACAAAATCTCGGTTAGGTTAGGTTAGACTTGCGACCTTACACATACACAGCTGCCGCGGTAGCGGCCGCCGAGCGCTATTTAAGTTTCGGAAAAATAAAGTGGCGTAATAAAAATAATTTGAAAAAAAATTTAGGCTTGAGTGTGCCATAGACAATTAGGCGTACAAAAAATTTGGCGATTCGATAGAGACCCCGCGTAATCGGATGACCCTCCCCTCGCACCGCATGTCCACGCTTATTCAATGAAATCTTATAAGTATTACATTTCCGATTGCTGTTTAGGAAATGTGTAAATTTCCTAGGAAATGTGTCTAATATAATTTACATCACACATTTCCGGGTGATTTTAGGAATTATACACAATTCCTAGGAATTGTATACAATGACGGATTTCATACATTTCCTGTAACATATATATATGTAGATAGATTAACCTGTTTTCTTCTTTTGATAAGCCCTTTCGGCAGACCCATTAATAGAAGAAATCAGTCAAAATTATAGGTGTACCACAACCTGTAAATTCGATAAATTGATGTTTATGTAAAAAAATAATTAAAGACTTTTCAGACAGTAAGCTACACACGATAGTGTTTTTGAATACGTTATCTATTGATAAACATTTTTAGATTTTTTCAGCATCACAAAAATCACGATTGCCATGTTTTGAGGATGAAAAATATATTTTATCTAACGAGAAACGACAAAAACACACGTCTCTGTTAATAAAATTAAATGATAAATGTGTACAGCATTTTGTTTCGAGTTTGTACATGATTTTATTTCAATATTCGTAATACTTATTACTGAACGAAATAAAACGTGAAAATAAAATATTATATGGTTATACAAAACTAGTGATCAAGTAACATTTATCATTGTAATTGCGAGCCTGTAGGGTAAATATTAAAGTTTCACTCGATTGAGTTCACATTGAACATTTCAGGAATGATTTTTTGTAACCACCTAAATTAAATGTGTAAACTAAAGTAATTTTTGATTTCTTTTCTTTTTGTAATAAAAATGTTACTGTATTTTTGAAAAAGAAAGCATAATAAAACATGACCCATAACATGAAATTCACATTTTAAACTTTAATAAAATATTTTTTTAGGGATGATAAGGATAGTCCGCAGTCTCCGCAAGTCTAATTTTATTATACCCTAAATATTCTATAGAGGCCAAAGGGTTCTTTTCTGGCCATGTCATTAGGGTCTTATTTAGTAAATGTTTATGAATAATATGGAGCTTCTAAACAACTTTTAAAAACTACTACTGATATTAATTTAATGTTGAGCTTTTTTGGAGATAGCAATCATAATACCTAATCAAAATGTTTGTTCAGAATGAAACCGTGTGAAAATGATTGTAAAGTGAAGATTTATATGGGCGGATCTTATGAAGGAGTAAGTCCAGGCATGAAAATGTAGTTTGGCTGGCGGCTATAGAAGCGGTATAGTATAGCCGGCGTACGATCAGTGAGAATTTGAAACTTTGATGGCACACCTCTTTCGCAGACTCAACCCACTTTAGTTTATGGAGGATCCATTTTATTACTCCAGTTTCGCTCGTCTTGCATTTCGGATCGGGAATGCCTGCAGCTTTAGGTCTCAGATTACAACAATGGAGGGATATGTGGAATAGTTTATAACACTTTTGGTAGGGGCTGGCGGAAGAATCATATATCTAACGCCTGTATTTGCATGTCGATCTTATACACAGCTAAAGATTTTTTGATTTCTTAAAGAAAGAAGATTATTTTTCTAAGAAGTATCTGGAAAGGTATCAATTTTCAAATAATTATTGTTACTTAATCATATTATGAATGCTTATTTGGCATACTGGTGTTATAAAAGAAAAAGCGTAATGTGCCTATTAAGATAGGTAGGCAGTGACTCTTTGAAGGACTTTTTACTTTTGGTCCTTTCTCGTCTCGGCAACTAAGTACGTGTCCAAATTATTTTCGCAATTAATTGCGAATTAATTAATTGGATGTTAACATCCAATTAAGACCACTTAGTAGGCAGAATTTTAATATAAATGTTTCAGTTTTGTTTTAGTTCGTAGGTACTAGGAATTTAAGGGCGTAGAAGTAATAAGTTACGACAAGAAGTAGACAATTTGATTTTTTGTACGCGATGGCAATGACTCTCGGGATTGATGTCTAGACTTTATTATAATTTTAGGTTCATTTAAAAAAAGTTCTTGGTTGATTTTCTCTCTGTCATTATACAAAAAAGAAAAACTTTAAAAGATAACAGTTAAATTACTATGTATTTCACAGATGTAGAACCACGGGCTGGAAGACGTAGCGTGGGCAGACCTCCTATTAGGTCGACTGACGTTCTGGTGAAGATCGCCAAAAGAATCTGGATGCGGGCAGCGCCGGACCGGTCATTATGGAAAGCCTTGGGGGAGGCCATTGTCCAGCAGTGGGCGTTATTTGGCTGAAACGAATGAACTATGTATTTCACGTCAAACGATGTTGCTAGTTCCATACCTACTCACTTCAAAGACTATTGTTATTGGGGGAGTGCGTCATTCACACACGTTTGTATTGTATTTCAAATGGATGACCTAGACTAGAATTGCAATAGCTTAATTGATAGTCAAATAAAATATACCTACATCCATGCCTACATCCCGACAGTCACAACAACATGTGCAGAACATAAAAACTGAGTTATCTATGTGAATGGAAATTTTCATCAAACACTAACTACGAGTTCAGAGGAAATGTGCACTAATTTACTGTCGTACTCCTTTTAACTACCTACCTTTAGAAGCTGTTGTGTAAAGTTAGTTATTGCATTTAATGTACGTAGGTAGGTACTTTTTAAAAGCAATGTTTTGTAGTTTCATATTTTTGCAATAAATAATTGGTTTTCCAAACTTTTCAATTCTAAATGTTATTCAATCCGTTAATTGGAAAAGTATTTCTACACGCTCCAATATAAAAAAGCAGAGTTTTTTTTAACTGATACCTACTGGTTTTTAACTGATAAGTTAGTGCTCTAATTTTAATGCATAACATTTTCCATAATTTGTTATGGCAACTTTGCATGATGGATGCTGTAGTTTAATAAATTAAAAGAGATGTACTTGAGGAACTGCTAACATTAAAATATCTTACTAATTGTTAAATATGTTCATACGTATAAATAAATATATTTTGTTTAAAGAGGCTTAATAACTTATTCTTACGAGAGAATTTCTAAAACATTCAGCAAACGAGCGAGTGAAACAATGACACGGTACAATTATTAGCTCACAATATAGGTCCCTCGAGAAAGGCCTTTATCTCGCATATAATGTAAGATTTATACATGCAGTTTATAACGACACGGGAGAAATATTGCGTAAAATACTATGCTCCTACATTACGTAGTAAATCTAAGGTACCTACACGCAACATCGCGCCTTTTGTGCCTGTATTTGGAGCACTAAGGAAAGTTATGAGCTAGAAGGTTTTTCCTGGTTCTGAAAAAAGGAAACCGGGTTTGTTTTGTTAAGTAATTAGATCATGGGATATTCAGAAATGAACNGAATGTAAAAAGGATTTCTCTTTGGGGGTAGTAAAAAATGTACTCATTAGATTTTGAACAATTATATTTTCATAGCACAAATCGTCGGAGATAACATAATAAAGCGCTAAAATAATTTTAATACCAAGTACTCGTAACTTAAGTAAACTAGTAGGCATTTATAATAATATTTCCAAATAACTGCTACTACTAAAGTTTACACACTAAGTAATACATAACAAATCTAATATCTTTGCATGATTTCACAAGTATATTTTGAACTATACTTAGTAAATGCTATGCTAAGTGAAATGAACAACACGTTTATGTGGTATCATCTTATCAATTACACTTATTTAAAACACATGGGTTAATAATTGATGCTCTGAACGTATGGAAAAGCTCCAGTAATCTTGGGTACAAATGGCTCGCCTGTTGTCAAATAATCCCGAAGGGTGAGTGACGGCGATCGATCTCTAATTAGTTTATGAAATAAAAAAAAAACACATTGACTTGGTATCTTCTAATAAATTACTGTTCTCAGAAAACACATTATCAAATGATCCCAACTAATATTATAAATGCGAAAGTAACTCTGTCTGTCTGTCTGTCTGTCTGTCTGTCTGTCTGTCTGTCTGTCTGTCTGTCTGTTACGCTTTCCCGCTTAAACCTCGCAACCGATTTTGATGAAATTTGGCATAGAGATAGTTTGAGTCCCGGGAAAGAACATAGGATAGTTTTTATCCCGGTTTTTGAAACAGGGACGCGCGCGATAAAGTTTTTCTGTGACAGACAAAATTCCACGCGGGCGAAGCCGCGGGCGGAAAGCTAGTGCTCCATATTTATGCAAAAGTCCCAGTAATCCTGGGCAAAAATGTCTCGTGTGTCGTCAAATAATCCAGCGGGTGAGTGACAGACGCATGGCTCGCGGCGGTCGATATCTTTTTTAGTAGTTATGAATTAAAAATACCGAACACACTGCGGTGGATCTTTTAATCAATTACTGTTCTCATCTAAACACATTGTCAAATGATGCTCCATATGTATGCAAAAGTCCCAGCAATCCTGGGCAAAAATGCCTCGTGTGTCGTCGAATAATCCGGTGGGTGAGTGACAGCGCATCGCTCGCGGCGGTCGATCTCTATTTACCTACTTTATGAATTTAAGAATAACCATTTAAGTGGGTAATCTCTAAATAATCAATTAGTGTTCTCATATCTAAAACATCATGCTCCATATGTATGCAAAAGACCCAGTAATCCTTGACAAAAATGCCTCGTGTGTCGTCAAATAATCCCCGCGGATGAGTGACAGCACATCGCTCGCGGCGGTCGATCTCTATTTACCTACTTTATGAATTTAAGAATAACCTATTTAAGTGGGGAATCTCTTAATAATCAATTAGTGTTCTCATCTAAAACATCATGCTCCATATGTATGCACAAGTCCCAGTAATCCTGGGCAAAAATGCCTCGTGTGTCGTCAAATAATCCGGCGGGTGAGTGACGGACGCATGGCTATTTACTTTAAACCTATCACTGCAGCCTGCGCTACGAAACTCCATTCTGAATTTTTCTGCAACGCTGTGTAGATTATTGGATAAGGCTTATTATTCACAAACGATGCTTGCTTAAGTGAAGGAGCAAATCGAACGCACAGCGTTGAATAGAGCTCTGTGATTGGTTTTTGTCACCCTGTGCGTCCACGCGCACTGTGAGATGCGAACGTTTGTGAATACGTGCGTTAGATTAAGTTTGGTACAATGGATGAGATAAATATTAAAGCAATCTAGTAAAGACTTAACTAAACTAATTATTCTTATTTAGTTCAAGATGGAGTCCTCTACATCAAAGTAGACGCTTTTGCATCTTAAATGGTTGGTTAAGATGTACTTTACAACAAAAATATATTCTGCGTATCTACATTAAGCTTACTACAAACATATTTAAATTAAGTCAATAAATCAAGAGTATTTATAATGTAAATTTTAAATATTACATTTCTTGGAAGCTGTCCATTCATCTTTTTATTCGTGTTACATGGAAGAACGCCAACATTGGACATGGTTGAATTATGTGACTGCAGGTTAAACATACTCTAACACTAATGGTATTCATATATTAGTATCTACTGGCATAATTTAAACCTAAGAAATAATTATATTGCTAATTAATAATGTTAAAATATATACAGATTCATTTCTATCATCACCATAACTATAACTATTTAATTATTTACCGAATTTTAAGACTATTAATAATTATTATGAAGATGTTGGCAGGATTCTTTTAGCAGTAAGCGCCACTTCTTTGACTTTAGCTCTGTGGACTTTCCCCGAAGACGTGATGGGAAGTTGGTCCATGTAGAAGAAACCCCCGTGAAGTTGCCTCAGATCAGGCATTGATTCTGAAAGAAAAATAGTAGGTAAATGATTGCAATAATTTTATGGACACACTTTTTATGAGCTGTCAAAACGCGATTCATTCTTATTAGAAGTACGATAAAACTAAGGATTAAAAAATAAGCTTTACAACATGTCACTATTTCACCAATTCAATTGTTTATTGAAAGCTAAAACATTTAGGTTGAGTTGCACCACCTAACTTTGAAATGAAATGAAATGAAAAAAAACCGGCCAAGTGCGAGTCGGGCTCGCGCACAAAGGGTTCCGTAGCAGCAAATATAATAAACTTATTATGTCAATTTATACACCTGGTGAATGGAGCCTAAACTCTCCCGATATTTTGCCTTGTACTTTTATGTATGAATATTAATTTTATATATGTATTTATAAATATTCCGAGCTAAAGAGGTGGCAAAAGCAATGGCAAACAAACCACAATCAATAGTATTCGGTTGTCGCTGAACACTTGGAAACTGAATACATGACTCCGATAGATACGGAAACAAGGCTTTTACATATATTTTTTGCGATTTTCCTAGAACANAAAAAATGACTTTGACCGTAACTTTATCGATAACCGGTGTTTTTTGTATGGAGTTTGATAGATTTTTGACGTTTGTCAAAGTTGAAGTAAGATGATGCAACCCAGCCTTAGATAATCATATTATGCAGTTGACAGAAAACGAATTGAATTTTCAAGTTTAAAATTATGCCTTTACAAACAATTACACGCTTGCATACTTTTAGATGGAATTTAAGGTATTTTAGAATCAATACAATAATTCCAATTTCAAGGCACTCTTTTCTTTTTGTCTTTTAAGTTTCTTTTGATTATAAAAAAATCAGTAACAAACCTTTGACTAAATCGAATATCTCTTTAGGGTTGATCTGCGAGCCGTTCTTCCTGACGATGGCAGCGACGGGCACTTCCATTCTCTCCCGGTCGGGGATGCCCACCACGCAAGAGTAAGCTACCGCGGGGTGCCGCTTCACGATGTCTTCCAGCTGCAGAGGGGATATCTGCAAAAGAAAATGACTTGTAGCAGGCCTGTTCATCTCCGCGAGTTTACATCGAAAACAAAACACGCACGATGGCCCACCTACAGGATACTATTCGACAAGGCCTCACATACGAGCGAACATTGACTCACGCACGCGTATTCTTGTGTATGATGGAAGAAAATAAAGAAAATGGTGTACTAAATACTGTGCAGTATTTAACTGCCTAAATAATAATAAAAACACAGAATGTACTTTTTTTAGTTGCCTCAAGACACTGAGAGGTAAATAAGTAGTTAATATTATTCATGATAATTCATGCTAAATCATGTATTTCCTCCACAATTTTCCGCAGTTTGGCACCTCACGTCACATCATTTTACCGAAGTCAGCCCTATAGCTTCGGCGCAGTGCCGATCACTGACGTTTGTCAACAAAATGGTGCTTAACTCTTGAGACAGGCTAAATTACAACATATTGTTAATGACATTGAGCATACATTTTTTCACAAACGAACGAACGAACGAACAAGAAACTTGGCGTCATAGCGCCTCTTTTTCAGTGGCAGACAGCTGGTGAATGGCTAGAGTAATCCAGCCCAAACTCAGAGATTTTGGCCTAGAATTGCATTGGCAGAAAAATCAGGGGTTTATTTATGCCAATGCAATAAATTGTATTAATGTTTAAAAACTTCCTTTGTAAAATGACAATGAATGAAAATAATGGGTGGGACATAGCATAGCATTAAGTTTTGAGCTTGCTGTTACAACCGACGCAAAAGAAGAAAGAGACTGACGCTTTCTCATCACAACTAGATGCAAGCACAACTAAATTAGGTATTCAGGAACTAATATTAGATGTCAACTGCTCACAAATACCTACGTTTGGCCTAGTTAAGTCATGACTTAGTTACAGTTGGTAAACTACGGCATGTTTACAAGTAGGTATTTAAAGTTTGCCCTAAATACTTAATAGAGTTGTATTTATTCATAGAGGCTTAAAATATGCATTTAGTTGAAAGAGAAGCACTGTGAAACTTAAGTTACGGGCAAATCGCTAAATTCTTTTCTCTTTTCATGAATTTATACACATTTTCTTATTCTTTTCTATTCAAACTACTTCCTATAGTCCAGTAGAATTAGCTTTTAAATCGGAAATAATTCCTACAAAAGATTTTATTGTTTTAAGGGCTTCGTTGGTTGCCCATTAAGACTCTCCTAAGTTTTCGACTTCGACGGAGTTGTGCTTAAGTGGTGGGGGACCCGAAAGGGGCATTTTTTCGGTTTTCCGGTTATACCGCGTAAAGGACTTACCCTATCAAAAAGTGGTCTTCATGACGGTTGAAGGGCACTTAATCCTGCATTGAATNATAAAGAAAATGGTGTACTAAATACTGTGCAGTATTTAACTGCCTAAATAATAATAAAAACACAGAATGTACTTTTTTTAGTTGCCTCAAGACACTGAGAGGTAAATAAGTAGTTAATATTATTCATGATAATTCATGCTAAATCATGTATTTCCTCCACAATTTTCCGCAGTTTGGCACCTCACGTCACATCATTTTACCGAAGTCAGCCCTATAGCTTCGGCGCAGTGCCGATCACTGACGTTTGTCAACAAAATGGTGCTTAACTCTTGAGACAGGCTAAATTACAACATATTGTTAATGACATTGAGCATACATTTTTTCACAAACGAACGAACGAACGAACAAGAAACTTGGCGTCATAGCGCCTCTTTTTCAGTGGCAGACAGCTGGTGAATGGCTAGAGTAATCCAGCCCAAACTCAGAGATTTTGGCCTAGAATTGCATTGGCAGAAAAATCAGGGGTTTATTTATGCCAATGCAATAAATTGTATTAATGTTTAAAAACTTCCTTTGTAAAATGACAATGAATGAAAATAATGGGTGGGACATAGCATAGCATTAAGTTTTGAGCTTGCTGTTACAACCGACGCAAAAGAAGAAAGAGACTGACGCTTTCTCATCACAACTAGATGCAAGCACAACTAAATTAGGTATTCAGGAACTAATATTAGATGTCAACTGCTCACAAATACCTACGTTTGGCCTAGTTAAGTCATGACTTAGTTACAGTTGGTAAACTACGGCATGTTTACAAGTAGGTATTTAAAGTTTGCCCTAAATACTTAATAGAGTTGTATTTATTCATAGAGGCTTAAAATATGCATTTAGTTGAAAGAGAAGCACTGTGAAACTTAAGTTACGGGCAAATCGCTAAATTCTTTTCTCTTTTCATGAATTTATACACATTTTCTTATTCTTTTCTATTCANCCTATTGGCTCAAACTTAATTTTGTAAGAGATAGCAAAATTTCGATCTAGATTCTAGATAATTAGGGCAGACCAATGAAACGAGACGGGACGGAGCGATTAGACCGGGTCTTAGCATATCCAGTAACTAATCTGTTTTCTAATTAGCCCGCGCAGACTTCAATCAAATGCCCGACGGGAGCTCTATCAAAAGGAATAAGAAGGACAGGCTTAATTAAAAATCGCACATGGAGGCATGAATGGTTCTCTATTTATGTAGTAATTACATCAATCTTATTCACATCTATAGAATTAGCCTTTGTAGGTTGGTCTATTTCATGTAATATTTTATTTAATTAGTCTATTTCAAAGTAGGGATCCATAATGTTTATTTTGAATCTGTTTACAAAGTAACGAACGTCAAATTGAAATATGGATCCAATTTCAGTTTCATCGTATAGGCAATTACTATTACCAAGTATACCGTTTTCCGCGGAATCATTTACCATGCTGAATAATGTTAAGTTAGTCCTTTTAGTGAATTCGATGTTTTCAGACAACGCTCACAATGGTGGGTATTTTCTTGAAAAATAAGAATTTATTTTTCGTTGTGCGCATATCTCGAGACAGTTCCCCGTTGAATGAATCAGAGCGTGAGCAAAATAAGTCTATCTAGATAACTTCAGGGCCACTGATTTTCACATCTTACGACAAGAAAGGTCAGAAACAGCAATTTTAATAATTACAACTGTACTCAATTGGGTATCCGTGTTTCTGTCACTTCTTCGTTATTAAATTAGAATCTATTTAAGTATTATTAAAAAAATAGTAGCATCAAAAAGCGAGGAAGTAGCACCTTTAGCAACCATTTAACTAACATAGACATAGAATCGTCCATATCTCCCTTATTATCACAACAAAGTGAAATAATTAATTGCATGCCGCGTGATCTCATTCTAGTGAGAAGTAGATTGTAAACAAGGTTAAAATTAAAATAATTATCTCTGCATTCATATTATTTAACTAACTCCCCGTATTTCAGCTTTAACTTCATAATTAAATTGGTACCTAGCCCAACAAAATGAATACGAATCATAATACGTGAGCGAAATATGTCTGTATTCCTTCAAGCCAACTGATATCACATCTGAGGGCACAGGTAGGGTCGGAGGTAGCAATTTAAAATTAATTATTTCGGCATGTATTCGGATATGTTTAATCACTGGGTATTTAGGTACCAACTCACAGACATCTAGGATATCAATTTCCAAGTAGGTATTTCATAAAAGTAGTTTTTAAGAAAGACTAGTAAAATGTGCTTTAATCAAGCATACAAGCTATAGTATGAGTGTAGTTGTCACATCACGTCTGTCACTGGAAATGCCCGCTCTTTTCTAAAACTTAATTAAATGAGGCTTACCCAATATCCGGCGCTTTTGATGAGCAGTCTTTTCCTCTCGACGAAGTAATAATAATTTTCATTATCTTTGTAGAATATGTCACCGGTCTTGAACCAGCCGTCCTCAGTCACCATCTCTCTAGTTTCTTCGGGATTTTTCAGGTATTCCTGAAAACGAATTCCAACCACATCATTACGAATGCATGTTTACGTTTCATTACATGCAAATAAAGCCGTAATTGCATAATTTAAAGGAGAATGCAAGAAAGTAAAATGCGGTTTAGTAAGAATAGCCGACAAAACCATTTAGCAAAGTAAATTGCACGCAAGCTTTTTAATAAATGCAGTTTCTTTACAGACTGTTTTCTGTGAATTATTTTGAAATAAAGAAGTCTAGATTATAAACACAGTATAATAGTGATATAAAGAGACCATTAAAAACTTTGGTACTCTTTAGTAGTACTAGTTAACTATGAAAATAGTCTGTGAAAACTGTTGGAGGTGTGAAAATCTCTGGTAATTTTGCTAAATGGCATCTCACGGCTAATTAGAGCCCGCATTGAGCTTCCTACTTAGGTCATGGTTAATTTTCTTACAGACTTGTTACAAAGAATCCCCGAGAAACTCTATAATTATAATTACCTTAAAGAAAGCGTCGCCTTTAATCCAAAGTTCGCCGGATTTAAAAGGCTTTCCGAGCTCGTGGCCTTCGTCGTCTACAATCTAGAACAATAGATCAACGGAAATATTATTACCTATTTAATATTACTCAATTTGATTTGTATAGAATAATTTAATTTGTGAATAGAATTTGATTTGTGGATTATTTCATGAATGCTTCCGTTTGCTTTGCTAATTTTATAAGTAGGTACATGTGCTCAATGCAAATACTTATACCTCAATGAATTTGGGAAATCAAAGAGGTAACATAATATTTTAATGATGTTTGTTAATAAGGCAAGGCATTCACGTGTAAACAAACAACACAGCAATTTATTTCTTAAAAATCATGAAAGCTGGAAAAAAATAATGTGGAATACAGGCAAAAAGCTGCTATCGGAATCTTGTGTTTGCTCGGTTGAACCGGCCGTCAATGATAATTGTAATTCAAAAAGACAAAGGTGTCCCAAGGGGATGTTTCATGAAAAGGCACGTGGATCGAAAAACGTTCCCCACGTTTTGGTACTGTATTAACTGCAAACCATGCTATCTACTTTTATCTTAATTAGCCCTACTGATTAATGAATCCGAACGACTCCTCAAATGAATCATTTGTCTACCGAATCAAGCCTGCTTGGAAGATTAATATAATATACCTATTGTTGAATAAGGAATGCCATGTAATTTAAGGTTTATTTTTATAGGTTCAGCTATTCAGCTACTTTAGCCATGGTTTGACTATTGAAAAGTACAAAATTCGCGAACTTTCAGGAATTTCTATAGCCCTTTCCAGGATAGGGAACCAATAGGTATATTGTTACTTACCATGTATTTGTATTTTTCAAAAGGTAGCCCAACCGAGCCGAAAGGCGTGTCCTCGCCGAAGTCGAATGCAGGAACCAAAAGCTCCGTCATACTGTACACTAGGTACAAGAAGGCGTCACATCTCGCCTGAAACAAACAAATATAATGTAAATATACGAAGGTAACATGATCATTTATGATTGATTACGAGTTTTTAGGCCAGGAAAATTATACTGTACNTAATTGGATTAAAATAATGTATTCAATCTTATATGAACTTTTAAGGAAGTTAGGAATAATGTTAGCTCTGTACCGTAGCTGTACTGTAGTATACAAAACTTTAGCTACATTTAAAAAATTAGCTCACGTATTTGATTTTGATATTCGTTCACAAAGCAACGAGCAGTAATAGCAAGCTTCCGTAAGCTTCGCCCATTCGTTTTCATACCTGACTGGAATTAGAAAATGTAGTTCATTTCACATAAATATTTGTGTTCGGAATGTACGTCTGTTATCTGATCCGAGCTTGATTTACGGAATCCTTTGTTGTACCTATAATAGTGAAGGTACGTGAGGGTTCACTTTCCCAAGGATATTGTTAAGTGTGGTTTACTCAAAGGTACATTTTAACAGAATGTTAGACGGTTCACAGAAATCCTAATTCCCGGAAGAAAAAAATTACTAATTTCATTTGCCAGCCTGAAGTCACCGTAGCATGACTTTCCTGCTTTGATGTTAAACTGCCATTATTACGGCAATTTTCAGGCTGCTGTAATGTCACATGTTATTTATGCCTGTTTTGTATCGGGGCTCATACCCAGACTCTTTTGATCCCTTTGCGATATCGGATTGTTTGACAAGGGCACATTTTACCAATTAACTATATTATGACAGGTAATATAGGTAATAGTGGACATATGAGCCGGTCTCCGTTAAGATTTCCTAGTAATTTTATGCTACGTCAAAGTACAGACGACCTGAAAATTAAATCACTGCGCATGACAGGGTATCAGGCAAGTTTAATAGCGCCACGCATGACAATGGTGTGTACAAGCCGGTGTCGCTTAAGGCTCAAGACATACTACGCGTCTTAAGCTCAGCTGAAGGCAACCTACGCAACTTTAAACTATTACTGATATTACTCAGCTGTTTTGCATAGTTTTGTAATTTATAAATAGTAGAAACTAATCTTTTCCAACTTTTCATTGGCCTGTTTTTCTGCTGTGCGACGGGCGCCCGCAGTAGGTGTGCGAGCGCGACAGCAACATAATGGGGATGTTGCCTGGGTCAAAAAGCAAGAGTTTTAATTAGTCCGTCAGTTAACTTATCAAAAAATACTCTACACGTATTTTTCACTTTTTCAAACTAATGAAAATTTAAAGAGATAAAGCGCCCCAAAGTTCATAAGAAGAGGCCCGTGACGTCAACGCTTGCTTAAAAATGCCGCACGTTGTGACGTCGTGCGCAACTTCAACGCACCATAACTATGTAATTATTTGTTAGATTGACAAATAAAATTATACGTGTCCAATATTTTTAGATATTAAACATTACGGACTAAAAAAATTTTTTTAGGCAACTAGCCTATTACGCGCGAGCGATAAGGATGGGTAGCTTGGGGTTATTGGACAAAATTCTACGTGCTCACGGAGCAGGCTTTTTGCTTACTTATTTTAATACTTGTAGAAGACTATTTTGTTATCAAGTTTATAAAATATATTTACAAAGTCCCTAGTGCTGGATTTACACTGATTGACTGTTTTTAAAAGCAAAGAGAAAAAAAAAGCCGAGTGTTTTAATAAGTTTTTAACGTTAGGTATAAGGTAACCATAACTACTAGATTACCTAGTAATCGTTCTCTGATCCCAAGTAGGTACTTTGTACGGAAGTTATTTGCAGCGATTTGCAGTTTGCACGCTAGGATTACTCGTTTAGAGTAGCTTAGTTCGAACATCAACATACTCGCTAGTTGTGTGCCCACAGGCTTATGAAAGATGGAGTTCGAAGTTGGTTATTCTACGTTATTTATACGGATTGGACAAATACAATCCTGACTTTGCTGGATCAATTGCTTCCCTAGACGATAGTTTCGATAAATTATTAGTATTTAAGTAGGTAGTGCTAACTGCAACTCCCTCTCTGAGACTGACGTGCGCCAAATATTAGAGTTTTGGAGTTAGGGCAACATCGCAAGTGCCAAAGATTGATTTTGGGTTAGCTAGTTACACTGGATTTACGGTCTGAACTGAACAACTGAACATGATATGAGTGTCATATAATTGATACTTTAATTAGAAACTGATTTCATAAGTTACTCACCTATTATTTACTAGAAAAAGAAAACAGTATTAACTCGGTGCTATCTTCCGTGTTTTGGAATTTAAACAGTAAGCTACCGATTTAACCGAACGTTCACTTTTAGTAGAACTGTTTAATGTACCCTCTGGGGCACTTTTAGTGCACTTACCCTGACTCGATCCAATATCGGTTTCTCCATTGGGCTGCCTGCAATGATGATATATTTGAAACAGGATAGATCGCAAATTTTCTCCGTGCCTTGCAGGAATTGGCCCAGCAAATGCGGCGTCCAGGCCGTTACGTGTGGCTGAAATCAATACGGGAACATAAGTAGGCGAATAGCTAAAAGTAGGCTGAAATAGGCGCTGCCGAAATTAGAGAAGAAAGTTTAATTTTGCAATTGAGCGCTCTCAACGAGGAGAGGTTATACCTGAGCGTCGCAATTTATATGTGTCAAGTAGAGTGTCTAAAAGCTACGTATAAAAATAATAATGAACGGTGATACGGATAAAATAAGTAGAAGTTGATTGTAGGAAGTAATTTATAGAACTTAAATTCTGAATCCATTTTGAAAAATCTTTCATCAATCATCAGTAGAGACGATGTAACCGTGGGCTTGTTAAGACAATATTATGATAATTTTAAAATGTTGCAGTCTTGCGATTTGATAAGCGACTGCATCACTGCGTGCATATAGTTTTTTTTATCTTTGGGCACATCCACATCTATCTGATATTACAATTTAAAGGTGCACCTGCACCGTCGTTATTGTGTTAATTAACCTCCCCGAGTGTTACTGGGTAACAACTAAATACTTAGGCTGGGTTGCACCACCATACTTTAACTTTAACAAACATCAAAAATCTGTCAAACTACATACAATAGCAACGATTATCGTTATAGATACGGTTAAATTTAGATGGTGCAACTCAGCCTTAGTCGTAAATAGACGTAAATTGCCTACGAAGTTATGTATCATTTTATAACACCCTCTCTTCCATTTGTATTTCTCTTTGCGTTGGAAAAAAAACTCGATACAAAGCTTCAAACTCCAATTTACATACTTTAGAACAATTTTGTTGCGGGTTTCATGACAGGTTAGCTATCCCCTGTGGCTATTTATCATTTAATCTTCACTTGGGTGAGAATGCTGCCATAGCTATAGTACCTATGTGAACATATTCCATGGTCTCTTTTTCGAGTGTAACAAAAGATTTGTGTTGGTAAAATTAACTTTAGGCGATATTTCAATTCAGTTATTAAACTCTTTACTCTTTGTACAGCTATATTCAATTTATAACTTATGAATTAGTTAAGCGGTATTGAAAATTTAAATTAGGCTGACTACAAGTTGGTGATTGACTTTCAGAAGTGGCCTATAGTGATGTTTTATTAAGTCTCCTAGTTATTTACATAGTTTAAGTGTAATTCATAATCGAATTATTTGACAAGTATTAAAATCAATGGGTTAAATTCGTAAGCTTTCATAAAATATTTGATGAACACATAAAATACTCTTTAGGTATTTGCGTAACGATTTATCATCTTCATTTTCGGTTTTTAATGACGTTAAAAATAAAATATTAATTTCTAGAACATACAATGTAAAATCATCAATCAAACGAGTCATTGTTAGAAATCAGAATAATTTACGATACGAGTACGAATAGTATCAATAGATTACGCAAATCGGCTTATCGTCACCGGGAGCTGTTGTAACCTGTTGTATTTGTGACACGGGGCGATCTGTAGAGTCAGAATGAATAAATTACCTACAAAAAATTGGTGAGCATATAGAATTAACTATACAGTCTAAAAATTTGAGGGAATGACGCCCGATCAGTACAGAAAATAGTTCTTTAGTCAAATCCCCAATGCCGTAGACGTCATGAAAAATTAAAAGGAAAGCATACCTATCTGCATTTGCAATTAACTGTACATTCTTAGTTGCCCAAAAATCTATTAAGTTTATTGATGAAGCTTTAATTCCAAATATTTGGGGAAATCGTCCTTCAACAGCTCATAAATAATGTATTTCCTATACCTATCAATATCAATGGTGTCAACTACCCAATTAATTACTAAGTAAGTACACATTAAAAAGAGAAGGTTACGACGTCTATGGTTATGGTAGAAAATTTTAAATTGTTAAATGAGGCGTCTTTTCTTTTACCAAATACATAACGCTAGTAAAATGTGTACGAATTAAAATCATCCACATTTTACTATCAAAATTAAAAATAACACTACTAACAAAAGACAGTCATTGCATGTGTAGGTAACCTACATACTTTTAACTGAAATAAAATTGCTTATAATCTGCAAATTGCATGTAGATAAAAATCAAAGATATCCTACTCGTATGTAAGTTGTTAAAGTATTTCACAACAAATCATTGTAGTAATGAGCACTTCAGATTTTACGAACATGATTTTGATTTTGATTGTGGGACGCGTGTTAATCATGAAAGTAGGTAAATGAATATTAACTGACACAAGTTACAAGTTTTAAGGCAGAGTTGCACCACCTTACTTTAACCGTAAATAATCATAACCGGTTTTATGTATGGTGTTTGACAGATCGTTGACGTTTGTTATAGTTAAAGTAAGATGGTGCAGCCCGGCCTCAGAATACAATTGACTTACCCTATATTTATTAATGGCACCAATCAACAGTGGAGGTGTAAGCGGCGCGGAGCACTGAAGCCTAGTGTACTGCCGCATCGGCCCACAGATGAAGAACAAGAGCGAAGACATCCACTGGAATGTCGACATTGTCAAGACCATTTTCACTGGTCCTGTGAACTTTTCCCTAAAATTGTATAATATCAGTTAGAACAAATATTTTAACGTTGAGCTTCAATTCAACTCTACCATGACCCTGTTACCGTCAAAACTCATTATTGGTCAAAACCACTTCGGACTTCAAAAATCAGTCAAAAGTGATTTTTACTGATCATTCGTTCATTCGTTTCAGCCAAATGACGTCCACTGCTGGACAAAGGCCTCCGCCAAGGTTTTCCATAATGCACGGTCCTGTGCTGCCCGCATCCAGGCTCTTCCCGCGACCTTTACCAGATCGTCGGTCCACCTAGTTGTAGTTTGACTGATGCCCTTGTTCAACATCACTTTATACTGATTTTTCCAGTCAAACTATGAGTGGAAAACTATGAGTTAGTAAAAGCATGGTACAATTTTATTGAAGGCAGAATTTATGTGCTCTCTTCTTTAAAAGTTGCGTTTAATTTAACAGTTTAATGATTTCTTATTTCTTCCCTACAGAATGCGGATGTGTCATTGCATTACGTATACCTAATGCAGTTAGACTGTCGTCGATACATATTCAACATGGATGAATTATTCGGAAACGGTTGAGAAGTGGAGGACACTGCATCTTAGACTCATGCATGGTAATGTTAGGCATGGGTACATAATACCCATTGGTTCCAATAAAGTATATGTACATAAGTAAATATATCGCTAAAAACGACATCATAAAATGTTTTACATTGATTAGTGCTGAAAACTGATAGGTTGGAATAGTTAGTAAAAGATTTTCCTGCCCCAGCGGCCATCAGCTCTACGAGCTATGTGCTCCGCCCACTGCCACTTGATTTTAGCGATTCTGCGGGCTATGTCACGACCACGAGCCGGAAGACGTAGCGTGGGCAGGCCTCCCACTAGGTGGTCCGACGATCTGGTGAAGGTCGCGGGAGGTGCCTGAATGCGAGCGGCTAGGGACCGGTCTTTGTGGAAATCCTTGGTGGAGGCCTTTGTCCAGCAGTGGACGTCTTTCGAACGAACGAAAAGATTTTACATTATTAGATGCAACTAGATTTTTCTACTTTTCACTTCCATTATCTAACATGAGATAATCCTGTCAGACAGCAAAGCGATGAAAGACAAAATCTAGGGTCTATTACAGGTAATATTTGAAGTAGATAGATGTCCCAAAATACTAACCACCAACAACAGATCGAGTTGAGTAAGGTATCGTAAGGTATGACAGCCACTTTAGGTAATCCAGTGGTCCCGCTTGTCAGCACCAGCCACGCTGCGATCTCTGAATGATTGAATTCAGCCGGCCTGAAATCCGTGACAAAAGATATTATGATTTGTTTATTGAATACGAAAAAAATCATGAAATAATTAAGTAGTTTTACGCAATCACTCACCTAAAGTTAACCTCTGTGCCATTATTTTCTTGGATAAACTTTTCCATGTTGTTATTTTCATCATCAAAGACGATAATCTTGGCGTCTAAGTTGGTTGCAGCGAATGCTTGTTTGACATATTCGGCAGCGTTTTTAAAACAAAATATTGCTTTTGGGCAAACGTATGGCAACAGACCCTGGAGGTCAACTGAAAAGAAAAAAAATGATTAATATTCGCTCGTTAGGTAAGTAATCTAAAATGGATTACAAAGTTATTGTTATTATAATCATCACACTGCAAAAAAACTTTTACTTTATTAGTAGGTAACTCTATAAATTATAAACATCGTAACTTTTTATCGTTCTTTGAGGCAATGAAATACAATAATAAAATTTCACTTTATTTTTAAAATACTGAGGCTTTTAACTTAATGTTGTGTCATTTCAGAATTCCGGCCTAGCTGCTTTTACGATAGCATTACGTGCTCGGAAACGTTACTTTCACCCTATTTGGGTTCCAAATGCATTTATAGTTTAGACTTTATATTGTTGTATTATGACAATGTTATTTATTTTCTTTTATCATGAGCATTAAATGCACAAAAACCGCATCTTCGTAGTCATGGAAATAATTTCATTCAACATTATTTGTAGCGTATCTTAATACCTACACGGGTTTATAATATTTGGGTATATTAGATAGTCTTTCAAGCTACGTCATTATCTTGATAATGATAAATATTACAAATTAAGAAGATAATTATCGTAATACCGAAAGATATGAAGCTTAATATGAAAGACACCTTGAAGTTTAAATTTTAATTACATTATTAGCATCAACATCAAAGAAATCTAATCGAAATTTCTGGTACGTGTGTCTTATGTAGGCTTTAATTTTATCATACATTAGGCAGCTGGGGTTTTGATTTTCGATAGTGGCAATTAATCTGTTATTTGATTTGCGATAGATTTGTTGTGTTCGGCGTGATTTAGGGGGTATAGATAACTGCTACTTTTAGTGTCGGCGGTTGATATTTCGCCACAAAAAAACGTACTGTTCACGTCACGCGTGGTTCGCGTGTTCAAGGTGGGACAAATAGCTAATACCTAATATCTATAACTTGACGCAATATAACATGAAGAATAGGTTACTAAAATGCCATGCAGCGTAGATGCAGTGGCATAATTGATAAATTAATTACGGATTAGGTAATTAAGACGTCTGTTATGGGGCTTATCGCAGCTACGCTGTCTGATTACTGACGTAACTAATCCACTTCTTATCATGGATGAAAGCCTTGTTCTGACCTTGGTTATTAAAGTTTTTAATTTACCTTATACCTACCTACTAAGTTGGGATGAAGCCTACACTACACTGCAAGGTAAATAAAACCTTATTTTCTTTAGATAAGTAACTTTTCAACGTTAGTAATGTTACTATACGGCAATAAACAATAGACGCTAAATGTCAAAGGTGCTTTTTCTGTATTTATTAAGTAGGTAGGTACTCGTTTAAAATATTTTTTGAAATTAGGTAACTCAAAATCTCTAACCACATAAGTAAATCTATATATATAAAAATGAAACCCGTTTCGCGTTGTCACGGCATCACGTGTGAACGGCTGAACCGATTTCGATAATTCTTTTTTTTAAATGTTTGTGGAAGTCCAAGGATGGTTCTTACGGAAAAAAATATTAGGAAAATCTCTACGCTAAGGCGGTACGAAGTTCGCCGGGTCAGCTAGTGGATTATAAAAATAATTTCTAATCTTACCTGGTCCAATTGTGGGGTCCATCCCACACATGGGGTAGCCATTGAAATGGCAGGCGTAGTACGGGATGGCCATGTCCAAATGGTTGGGGCCGATGACCACGACCGGGTCTCCTGGCTTCAGGCCATAGTTGCTGAGCGCGCTGGCCAGCCGCATGGAGCGGATGGCTACTGATTCGTTGGTCTCACTCGTCTCGGTGGCTGCATCAATCTGTGGATAGTTGATTGCTATCAAATGTAACCGCCAGTAGCATGTTTAACTATATTTTTTGTTGCAAAAGAGTAGTTATTATATTATACACAAGATGCTACAGTGTTAAGCTTGATTATGCTGTTTGTTGTCCGTTAAATAAACAGCTTGAATATTTTCCTCTTGGTCTCTACAGTTAATTCACTAAACTTTTTATTAGATGATAAGTAGGTTGGCTTATTAATGCCACAACTTTTAGAGATTGATTTTTGTAACAGTTTCGTCTAAGAGTTAATTAGACGCTCGTTAAACTAACCCTAATTAAAACTATGTACAGAACTAGATTTGTTGTTCATTATAATTATTGGCAAACTTTATAAATTACAAGAAAATTATGACAGTGCCTCGCAGCACTTAAATCCCTTTAAGATATTAATTAGGTGATTTCAAGTTCCGGCAGTCAATGAGTGCAATGATAGTGAGGTTTTGAAATATCAGCTGTCGTGGGAAGGCAATATAATAAAATATTATTGAGCCATGGTTGTAATTAATAACTCATTTTCAGACCAAATAAGTACGTCCTTGAACGACGTTAAGGCTGTTTACCCGACATTGTGATAAAGCGTTCATTTGACTGTGATTTATGGATAGGGAGACAATAGGTCAAATAAACAAATACAATAAACGCTTATCTTTCATCGTTTCAATATCCGACCATTATTGGCCTAGAAATATTGTGAGCTCCATCAACATTATGGTATGGATAAATAAATATTTATGAATATCATGTTACACTTAAAATTATCCAAATCATTTTGGTTGATGAATATCAGTAGCTGTCTGTAAGTTAATACTTTTTAACATGAATTGATAAATTTTCTCATGTAAGTGTAATGTAATACATACTTATTGTTTATTTGAAGAGAAAACTAGAATTCAGTAAAGTTTATGTCAAAGGTAAGGTGCAGGTTCAAGTAAATAGTTTAATCAATGTCATTAATCGGGTCTAAAAGGAATGTCCACTTTGTAATATTAGTTAGATATGTTATCTGAGTATTTAGTTAAATGTTATTGTATTTTATAGGTCAAACAAAATAAACAGTCAACATTTATGATAAACAGTCAAAATTATCACGATAGTATTTTAGTACCGTGTTAGCAGAAGGTGTATTGCTTAATAATTGGAAGATTGTATGTCTTTAATTATTTTATAATAAGAAAAAAAAATAGTGTGAATAACAAGCATATTACTACTTTGATACTTCTGTTGTAAAAAGATTTCAAACGTCATTAAATTAAATTGATTATTAAAGGGAAATTGAGGTAAAACAATTGGGTTGTGTTTATTAATTATAATTTTACATAGGAAAAGTTTACTTAGTAGAACCGGTAAGTAAGAGAAACATTTATCCGACCCAATAGTTTTCGAATCCATTTCGGCACAATCGACATTTATTTAGTTATTTAGTAGCTTTATTTGATAAAGTAAAATTCAGATAATTCTTACTATATTATTCAGGTAGAGAACTGATTTGTAATTATTGAAAAGCGAAGAACTTTTTTATCGGCGAATTAACTTTTATGAAATTGTAAATTAGGTTTCTTTTAATTGACATGCTTATGCCCGTTTTCACCATTAATCCTTAATTTTTAAGTGACCCCTATGAAAACAAAATTCCCGTCATGTGTTACCATAGGGGTCACTTAAAAATTAGGGATTTATGGTGAAAACGGGTATTAGTATCTTAATTATTCCCGGTATTGAAATCACTACCACCACGTTAATGCTTAATTAAATTCCCTTGCAAGTCGAAACTGTTTTTAAATAAACACAAAAGTTGAGTGAAAACATTAAAGCTGAGCTTTCCAAAGTGCTATATTAAATGTCCATACAGGGTTTACAAAGGTTAAGAATATCCAACTTTAGTGTGAGAATGAATGATGTTCTACCTGATTTAACAAAGTCGGGTTTCCCAGGAATCCTTCCAAAACTAAATGTCCCACATGACATTTTTCTGGACATATGTTGTATCTTTGAGCCGCTTTCAGTTTCAGAGCACATAAACGTTGTCTAATGTGAATCTCTTCAAGAATCATGATTACGACCGTTTAAAAAAAATTCTAAAAAATCAAAAATATTTGCCTGTATGTACTGGCCGACACTTAACACAGGTATAATAGTAAATAAGGCCGCCGAAACGTATATATAGTAGTTAATAAATCACATTATCTAATTTATCTTTATCAGGTAGCTGAATCGTGTATCTACAATAAATAATGAAGCTACATAATCAAACTAAAAGATAATCTATTATGAAATGACGATCAACCAAAATTATTACGAAATAACAACGTACTGGTTGCAGTGACACAAAATAAGCTGTGTTATTATAGGAAAGCGTTTTAATATACATATCATCAGTTCATTTAGTCTCCACTGCATTACAACCCTCTCTAATTTAACAGAAGCAAAAGGACATGAACACTTCCCACGCTTCCCAGCTGGCCTGACGAAATTATGAATCTTCCTGCTTATTGACATGGTCCTTTCAGTTCCAAAACGATTTAGTAGTACTTCAAAGCGCAAAGCAATGATATTGTAAAGTAAAACAAAGCGTATTAATATTGTTTCCTAACAAAAGGGATAAGTTCTAGAGTCTAAAAAGTTCTCGATTCGAAGATATTACAAGAATAGTTGTTGAACTTGCTCGTTCATGCCGCCCAGCAATCGTCGCTGCAGAACTTTGGCTAAAACAATGTCGTCAATTAATTAAACTTCGCAACGATCGATGTCTCCCGATACAATGGAAAAGGCCATTGTCACGCAGCTCAATAAGACCAGCTTCATAATAATTCTGCTATTTATTGGGAACTTTCCAGAACTTCGCGCTTAGTTGGCAGTTAGTTTGCTGTATCGTAAACCCGGTATCATGCGTCACACCTTTCCTATAAATGCTTTGGGAAAATTACTATGAAATCTCAAATCACGTAGGCGCTACAAAGACATTGTCTTGTTCATGGAACTTATTAGGATTGGTTCCAGTTGGCTATTGACTAAACTGAATCGTAAAATAAACATTTTAGGTACAGTTAAGGCAAATTGTTTTATTAGATACCTCTGTAATTTAGGTACAATAATAGCGGCCATCCCTCGTCATGCTCAAGTCAGTGGTAGGGATCAGAAAGATCGGATCGCTGAGGGCAAGGAGTTATTCTTTACGAGGTATTGTGTATTCTTGGCTTCTTTGAAGTTATTGTTTGTTGAACTTAATTTATTGTTACAATTTCTCAATTTTCAATTAAAGATCTGTTTTATGTTTTCAATCAACGTAACGCTTTCCTATTATATTATCAAAGTTCAAACATTTCTATAAATAGGTACACGTTTCAATGCTAAAAACGTATTGTTAATCGAATCAATGTTGGAAATCGTACAAGTATGGCATGGCATTGCAGCTACAAAACGGCTTCGAACAGAATTGAAAATCATACAAAAGAGGCTTTTGGAAGCAATGGTGAATATAGGCGATGTCAAATATTTAGAAGTTATTCACAAGGCCCCGCAAAATACATTTGGACATGTTATTATAAAACGAAGATAAAATCTAGATTCACATGAAAGCAAATATTTATCTCGGTGATTGTTTTTGATACAAACAATAAGAATGATAAACTTAAATATATGTCATAAAAGAGCCTTACTATTTCGATGAGATTACGATCGTTAGATGCCTATTTTGGCTGTTAGTGAAAAGTTACAGCCAATCTAAAAGTGATAAAAGAGGTGGCTTATTAAAGTTTCCAAACTGCTGCAACAATGCTAAGTCGGCTTAACCTCTTGACAAACAGCATTAATCTACCGAAACACGCGGTAATAATTTGCTGGGAACAGTCTCGGATAAGATCAACAGTTCCCGATGCGCAGCCCAGCCGTGAACATAAAACTTTAATGAGTTTCGCCTCTTCTTGTTATCTTAAGCCAGGTTCAACAAAGTTTTACGTTGTTCTGTTTATTGAACATTGCACAGTTTCACCACAACTCAATATGAAATTATGTTTAAGTTTTAATTAACGGTCAGATTAAACTTCGGTCAATTTAGAGTTTGGACAAAGCAAACCAGAAATAACATTGTTAATTTATTGTTCGCTAGTGTTGGAAGGTGAGATAACTGAGATAGTTAACTACTTAGAACTGAATAGCTGCTTGAATTGGAACATTGTTTCCAATTACAAAGAGATATGTTTCGGGGACTTTAATACATGATTGCTATTACAAGGAGGTACTATTGTGGCTGAGAAAATATTATTTGTTGGTGGTTCGTCTTACTTACGCACATCACAAATTTTCTAACATGGCTTATAAATTGTGTAAAAAAGATTTTTTACAATTCTGAAAAAACATATTATTATGGCAATTTATTTTATAACTAACGAAGTCATGAAATGACATGCCTATTCATCATTTCCATTAAAAACTCTACCATGTGTTTCAATCTAAATTTTACCAGTGTAGAGTTGATGATAGAAAGTAAAAAAATATGTTGGATATTTGGTTCGATCCATTTTATTGTCCCAATTTCATGCAAACGCCCACAGGCATCACAGGCATAATAACAATGCGAAATTGTAGAAAATGAATTCGATTACTTTCCGAGAATATTACACGCTCAATTAACTATAAATTGCAGCATTCCATTGTCAGAATTACTTGGTAATGTGCCCAGATAATACAAACAAAACAATAAAAATAAATTGATTGTTGACAGCTTTAATACTTATCTACTCGTATATCGAAGTACGTCGATACAGACGTATGCATTGATTGAAAGATATTGTAAAATGACGAAAAACTTTGTTTCACATACCTATTGTGCGTCGTTAAGTTGGTTTTCAGCAATATCTTGTGACTCATAACTTTAATTAACGCATTTTTCTGTTAAATAATCATTAGTTCAATCAAAATCAAAAACGTATAATTAACGTCGCCTCGATGCAAAAATTGGCGCGAACAATATTTTCCTAGGTCTACTAGGCGAAAAACAAAAGACGAATAATATTAATAAAAAGTATTATCGGCGGCCAGTGCTTTCGCTGACAACTGAAAGAGTTGACATCATCGGTGAAAAACAAATGAAGTAGCCATACGATATGAAATAAAAAAATAAGGAATCATAAACGTTTTATTTCATATCTTTAAAAAATCTAAGCTAGGTAGGTTAACCTTTATCCAAATAGGTTATAAGTTAATTTTTAAAGTTCATTTGAACCTGTTTAATATTATTCTTTACCAAGATCTTGATTGCTTATAAATAATTATAATAATAACAAAACAATATTAATTTATTTGCTAAATGTAATGACTTTTCGAACGTTACATTCTCAGATAGTCGACGAGACACCTTTGTTTTAATAGGTGCTTCAGATGAAATCTACATAAACGCGCTCTTGGTGCGCTGCAGTAAGTTTGCTAGAATATTTACATTTAAATGTGAAGCAGATAGAAGTTTTATTACAATGGCTGAACATGACTTTGTTTTCGTCTATCCATTGGGATTTAGCATCTGTTTACGATATATCATTAAATTAGACCTCTGCTGTAAAGCTTTCATTTGTAACGGCGAAGTCAAAGAACAATCGACTCTATTGTCTGCAATGCAGCTTTATTTTTCGTTTGTTATGAAACAGCAAATTGTTAGATAAAACGTCAGAAAATTTAGTGGCTCGTAACCGTGGGATGAATTTTTTGATACTGACACGCGGTATGAAGTCAAAACGAACGCGCTGGTGTACATTAAATAAAAGTTAATGTTTTTCGATTACCTTAAATTTACATGGCGCTGTATACTTTTGTGTTTATTCAGAATCTGGATAATATTGGCAATAGGTATGTGTTGTAATTAGGAATAGATAAATATTGATTTGAGTTTTTGTAGGTCGAAACAGAGTGATTCACTCCACAGTCTGTTATGTAACACAAGAAATCTTTTATCACTTGTTTATCATTTAATTCTGTCAAATCCGAACTAAGTATGTTTCGTTTGAGTAGGCAAGAATATCAAATTAACATCCTAAATTGGAATTCTCGTTGATCAGTTCCAAGAGGATCTTGTCAGGCTGAATGGAGTTTTTCATGAGTGGGGAGGTTGTTTAAATTAGAATTCATTCATTTAGCAGAGGTGGTTTACTTTGCTCATTAAATCACGAGTGCCGGTGTGAGGCTGGAGCACGCCGGGAACTGGTTCCAAGGAGAAGCTACAGCGGTTTATTAAATTAAATTAACCTTTTATGTTCGGAAAATCATTTTGTACCTTTCTACAGTTCAAACTAAAGCATAAATTAACAGAATAGTCAAAACATTTGTGGGTTTGTCCCCCCATTACTATTTTGATTAAATATTTTAATGCAAAGATTTATAAACATTGAGATATATTAAGATAACATGCTGATTTAACATGAATCAGTCAAAGCCTACGTGACCCTGACGGCAATGATTTCAGGTATTTACAGAAAACCTCATAAATAATCGAGGATAGGGCCAGCCAGTAATCTGTAAATGTATCTGTTAAAATAAAATATTATATTCGATATAAGTCAAAGATGGACATGGCCCAATAAGGACGCGGGAGCGTTTTCGATCGTCGCCCAATATTTTTAAACACTTGTACTCATAATATATATTGTTTATGTTATCCCAGAAGTCACTCTTTTCCCACGAAACTGACTTCCGATCCGATTGATCTCTACCTGCGGTCGAGTAGCAACAAATATAACGATTATGAAAGTAGAGTAAGTAAGTACTCGTATCCATTCAAAATGATATTTCACTGAACACAGATAAATAAATCAAGATTATTACACAATATTGCAGAATACATAGATATTTGCATTAATATTTTATATAACGTGCAATGCGCTATTATTAGCGCGTGAAAAGAGTTGACTATATTCACTATGTGTTAATATTTTTGTCTCTTTTTCGTCCATACATTCTTATTCGTTCGTTCGTTCGTTTCAGCCGAAAGACGTCCACTGCTGGACAAAGGCCTCCCCCAAGGATTTCCACAAAGACCTGTCCTGCGCCGCTTGCATCACATCACATCGTAGGAGAACCAGAGTGACTGACATAGCCCGCAGAATCGCTAAAATCAAGTGGCAGTGGGCGGGGCACA